TTTTTTTTTTTTTTTTTTTTTTTTTTTTTTTTTTTTTTTTTTTTTTTTTTTTTTTTTTTTTTTTTTTTTATTTTTTTTTTTTTTTTTTTTTTTTTTATTTTTTTTTTTTTTTTTTTTTTTTTATTTTTTTTTTTTTTTTTTTTTTTTTTTTTTTTTTTTTTTTTTTTTTTTTTTTTTTTTTTTTTTTTTTTTTTTTTTTTTTTTTTTTTTTTTTTTTTTTTTTTTTTTTTTTTTTTTTTTTTTTTTTTTTTTTTTTTTTTTTTTTTTTTTTTTTTTTTTTTTTTTTTTTTTTTTTTTTTTTTTTTTTTTTTTTTTTTTTTTTTTTTTTTTTTTTTTTTTTTTTTTTTTTTTTTTTTATTTTTTTTTTTTTTTTTTTTTTTTTTTTTTTTTTTTTTTTTTTTTTTTTTTTTTTTTTTTTTTTTTTTTTTTTTATTTTTTTTTTTTTTTTTTTTTTTTTTTTTTTTTTTTTTTTTTTTTTTTTTTTTTTTTTTTTTTTTTTTTTTTTTTTTTTTTTTTTTTTTTTTTTTTTTTTTTTTTTTTTTTTTTTTTTTTTTTTTTTTTTTTTTTTTTTTTTTTTTTTTTTTTTTTTTTTTTTTTTTTTTTTTTTTTTTTTTTTTTTTTTTTTTTTTTTTTTTTTTTTTTTTTTTTTTTTTTTTTTTTTTTTTTTTTTTTTTTTTTTTTTTTTTTTTTTTTTTTTTTTTTTTTTTTTTTTTTTTTATTTTTTTTTTTTTTTTTTTTTTTTTTTTTTTTTTTTTTTTTTTTTTTTTTTTTTTTTTTTTTTTTTTTTTTTTTTTTTTTTTTTTTTTTTTTTTTTTTTTTTTTTTTTTTTTTTTTTTTTTTTTTTTTTTTTTTTTTTTTTTTTTTTTTTTTTTTTTTTTTTTTTTTTTTTTTTTTTTTTTTTTTTTTTTTTTTTTTTTTTTTTTTTTTTTTTTTTTTTTTTTTTTTTTTTTTTTTTTTTTTTTTTTTTTTTTTTTTTTTTTTTTTTTTTTTTTTTTTTTTTTTTTTTTTTTTTTTTTTTTTTTTTTTTTTTTTTTTTTTTTTTTTTTTTTTTTTTTTTTTTTTTTTTTTTTTTTTTTTTTTTAAATTTTTTTTTTTTTTTTTTTTTTTTTTTTTTTTTTTTTTTTTTTTTTTTTTTTTTTTTTTTTTTTTTTTTTTTTTTTTTTTTTTTTTTTTTTTTTTTTTTTTTTTTTTTTTTTTTTTTTTTTTTTTTTTTTTTTTTTTTTTTTTTTTTTTTTTTTTTTTTTTTTTTTTTTTTTTTTTTATTTTTTTTTTTTTTTTTTTTTTTTTTTTTTTTTTTTTTTTTTTTTTTTTTTTTTTTTTTTTTTTTTTTTTTTTTTTTTTTTTTTTTTTTTTTTTTTTTTTTTTTTTTTTTTTTTTTTTTTTTTTTTTTTTTTTTTTTTTTTTTTTTTTTTTTTTTTTTTTTTTTTTTTTTTTTTTTTTTTTTTTTTTTTTTTTTTTTTTTTTTTTTTTTTTTTTTTTTTTTTTTTTTTTTTTTTTTTTTTTTTTTTTTTTTTTTTTTTTTTTTTTTTTTTTTTTTTTTTTTTTTTTTTTTTTTTTTTTTTTTTTTTTTTTTTTTTTTTTTTTTTTTTTTTTTTTTTTTTTTTTTTTTTTTTTTTTTTTTTTTTTTTTTTTTTTTTTTTTTTTTTTTTTTTTTTTTTTTTTTTTTTTTTTTTTTTTTTTTTTTTTTTTTTTTTTTTTTTTTTTTTTTTTTTTTTTTTTTTTTTCTTTTTTTTTTATTTTTTTTTTTTTTTTTTTTTTTTTTTTTTTTTTTTTTTTTTTTTTTTTTTTTTTTTTTTTTTTTTTTTTTTTTTTTTTTTTTTTTTTTTTTTTTTTTTTTTTTTTTTTTTTTTTTTTTTTTTTTTTTTTTTTTTTTTTTTTTTTTTTTTTTTTTTTTTTTTTTTTTTTTTTTTTTTTTTTTTTTTTTTTTTTTTTTTTTTTTTTTTTTTTTTTTTTTTTTTTTTTTTTTTTTTTTTTTTTTTTTTTTATTTTTTTTTTTTTTTTTTTTTTTTTTTTTTTTTTTTTTTTTTTTTTTTTTTTTTTTTTTTTTTTTTTTTTTTTTTTTTTTTTTTTTTTTTTTTTTTTTTTTTTTTTTTTTTTTTTTTTTTTTTTTTTTTTTTTTTTTTTTTTTTTTTTTTTTTTTTTTTTTTTTTTTTTTTTTTTTTTTTTTTTTTTTTTTTTTTTTTTTTTTTTTTTTTTTTTTTTTTTTTTTTTTTTTTTTTTTTTTACTTTTTTTTTTTTTTTTTTTTTTTTTTTTTTTTTTTTTTTTTTTTTTTTTTTTTTTTTTTTTTTTTTTTTTTTTTTTTTTTTTTTTTTTTTTTTTTTTTTTTTTTTTTTTTTTTTTTTTTTTTTTTTTTTTTTTTTTTTTTTTTTTTTTTTTTTTTTTTTTTTTTTTTTTTTTTTTTTTTTTTTTTTTTTTTTTTTTTTTTTTTTTTTTTTTTTTTTTTTTTTTTTTTTTTTTTTTTTTTTTTTTTTTTTTTTTTTTTTTTTTTAATTTTTTTTTTTTTTTTTTTTTTTTTTTTTTTTTTTTTTTTTTTTTTTTTTTTTTTTTTTTTTTTTTTTTTTTTTTTTTTTTTTTTTTTTTTTTTTTTTTTTTTTTTTTTTTTTTTTTTTTTTTTTTTTTTTTTTTTTTTTTTTTTTTTTTTTTTTTTTTTTTTTTTTTTTTTTTTTTTTTTTTTTTTTTTTTTTTTTTTTTTTTTTTTTTTTTTTTTTTTTTTTTTTTTTTTTTTTTTTTTTTTTTTTTTTTTTTTTTTTTTTTTTTTTTTTTTTTTTTTTTTTTTTTTTTTTTTTTTTTTTTTTTTTTTTTTTTATTTTTTTTTTTTTTTTTTTTTTTTTTTTTTTTTTTTTTTTTTTTTTTTTTTTTTTTTTTTTTTTTTTTTTTTTTTTTTTTTTTTTTTTTTTTTTTTTTTTTTTTTTTTTTTTTTTTTTTTTTTTTTTTTTTTTTTTTTTTTTTTTTTTTTTTTTTTTTTTTTTTTTGTTTATTTTTTTTTTTTTTTTTTTTTTTTTTTTTTTTTTTTTTTTTTTTTTTTTTTTTTTTTTTTTTTTTTTTTTTTTTTTTTTTTTTTTTTTTTTTTTTTTTTTTTTTTTTTTTTTTTTTTTTTTTTTTTTTTTTTTTTTTTTTTTTTTTTTTTTTTTTTTTTTTTTTTTTTTTTTTTTTTTTTTTTTTTTTTTTTTTTTTTTTTTTTTTTTTTTTTTTTTTTTTTTTTTTTTTTTTTTTTTTTTTTTTTTTTTTTTTTTTTTTTTTTTTTTTTTTTTTTTTTTTTTTTTTTTTTTTTTTTTTTTTTTTTTTTTTTTTTTTTTTTTTTTTTTTTTTTTTTTTTTTTTTTTTTTTTTTTTTTTTTTTTTTTATTTTTTTTTTTTTTTTTTTTTTTTTTTTTTTTTTTTTTTTTTTTTTTTTTTTTTTTTTTTTTTTTTTTTTTTTTTTTTTTTTTTTTTTTTTTTTTTTTTTTTTTTTTTTTTTTTTTTTTTTTTTTTTTTTTATTTTTTTTTTTTTTTTTTTTTTTTTTTTTTTTTTTTTTTTTTTTTTTTTTTTTTTTTTTTTTTTTTTTTTTTTTTTTTTTTTTTTTTTTTTTTTTTTTTTTTTTTTTTTTTTTTTTTTTTTTTTTTTTTTTTTTTTTTTTTTTTTTTTTTTTTTTTTTTTTTTTTTTTTTTTTTTTTTTTTTTTTTTTTTTTTTTTTTTTTTTTTTTTTTTTTTTTTTTTTTTTTTTTTTTTTTTTTTTTTTTTTTTTTTTTTTTTTTTTTTTTTTTTTTTTTTTTTTTTTTTTTTTTTTTTTTTTTTTTTTTTTTTTTTTTTTTTTTTTTTTTTTTTTTTTTTTTTTTTTTTTTTTTTTTTTTTTTTTTTTTTTTTTTTTTTTTTTTTTTTTTTTTTTTTTTTTTTTTTTTTTTTTTTTTTTTTTTTTTTTTTTTTTTTTTTTTTTTTTTTTTTTTTTTTTTTTTTTTTTTTTTTTTTTTTTTTTTTTTTTTTTTTTTTTTTTTTTTTTTTTTTTTTTTTTTTTTTTTTTTTTTTTTTTTTTTTTTTTTTTTTTTTTTTTTTTTTTTTTTTTTTTTTTTTTTTTTTTTTTTTTTTTTTTTTTTTTTTTTTTTTTTTTTTTTTTTTTTTTTTTTTTTTTTTTTTTTTTTTTTTTTTTTTTTTTTTTTTTTTTTTTTTTTTTTTTTTTTTTTTTTTTTTTTTTTTTTTTTTTTTTTTTTTTTTTTTTATTTTTTTTTTTTTTTTTTTTTTTTTTTTTTTTTTTTTTTTTTTTTTTTTTTTTTTTTTTTTTTTTTTTTTTTTTTTTTTTTTTTTTTTTTTTTTTTTTTTTTTTTTTTTTTTTTTTTTTTATTTTTTTTTTTTTTTTTTTTTTTTTTTTTTTTTTTTTTTTTTTTTTTTTTTTTTTTTTTTTTTTTTTTTTTTTTTTTTTTTTTTTTTTTTTTTTTTTTTTTTTATTTTTTTTTTTTTTTTTTTTTTTTTTTTTTTTTTTTTTTTTTTTTTTTTTTTTTTTTTTTTTTTTTTTTTTTTTTTTTTTTTTTTTTTTTTTTTTTTTTTTTTTTTTTTTTTTTTTTTTTTTTTTTTTTTTTTTTTTTTTTTTTTTTTTTTTTTTTTTTTTTTTTTTTTTTTTTTTTTTTTTTTTTTTTTATTTTTTTTATTTTTTTTTTTTTTTTTTTTTTTTTTTTTTTTTTTTTTTTTTTTTTTTTTTTTTTTTTTTTTTTTTTTTTTTTTTTTTTTTTTTTTTTACATTTTTTTTTTTTTTTTTTTTTTTTTTTTTTTTTATTTTTCACACTGTATATATATATATATCCCCCCTCTACACTGTTTATATATATATCCCCCCTTTTATTTTTTTTTGTATATATATATATCCCCCCTCTACACTGTATATATATATATCCCCCCTCTACACTGTATATTTATATATATATATCCCCCCCTCTTTACTGTATATATATATATCCCCCCTCTACACTGTATATATATCTCCCCCCTCTATACTGAATACCGTATATCGCCCCCCACTGTTAGGACTCACCCAGAGAGTTCAGGAAGAGGAAGTTGTCCTCCATGTTGCTCAGGAAGATGGGGGGAATACACGATCTGCCATCGTAGTTGTCACCTCACACCTGAGATCAGAGAGAGAAGAAACATCTTGTAAATTGCAGACAATGCAGCAGCAGAAGGGAGACTCTGTAGATGAGGGGTCAGTAGAGGATGGAGAGGGGCGTTCACCCCATAATGGCTGGAAAGTCGAACAAATGGCTGACATTCCTTGTGTACTCTTGTGATGATCTGTGTGATTGGTCAGTGATCACATGGTACAGAGAGGGCCAATCACAGCTCTCACAATAGTTCTCACTGGCCATGAATGGATGCCATTCATAGAAATGATTAGTGATTATCAGTGTAAGGCCGGTCCCCCCCCCCCACACCTTCCTCCCATATATGAGGCCGGTCAGTTCCCCCCCACACCCTTCCTCCCATATGAATGGCCGGTCCCCCCACACCTTCCTCCCATATGAGGCCGGTCCCCCCCACACCTTCCTCCCATATATGAGGCCGGTCCCCCCCCCCCCCCCACGCCTTCCTCCCTTATGAGGCCGGTCCCCCCCCCCCCCCCCCCTTCTCCCATATGAGGCCGGTCCCCCCCCCCCCCCACGCCTTCCTCCCATATGAGGCCGGTCCCCCCACACCTTCCTCCCATATATGAGGCCGGTCCCCCCCCCACACCTTCCTCCCATATGAGGCCGGTCCCCCCCACACACCTTCCTCCCATATGAGGCCGGTCCCCCCCCCACACCTTCCTCCCATATATGAGGCCGGTCCCCCCCCCACACCTTCCTCCCATATGAGGCCGGTCCCCCCCCCACACCTTCCTCCCATATATGAGGCCGGTCCCCCCCACACCTTCCTCCCATATGAGGCCGGTCCCCCCCCCACACCTTCCTCCCATATGAGGCCGGTCCCCCCCCCCACACCTTCCTCCCATATATGAGGCCGGTCCCCCCCCCCCACCTTCCTCCCATATATCAGGCTGATCCCCCCCCCCACACCTTCCTCCCATATATGAGGCCGGTCCCCCCCACACCTTCCTCCCATATGAGGCGGTCCCCCCCCACACCTTCCTCCCATATATGAGGCCGGTCCCCCCCACACCTTCCTCCCATATATCAGGCTGATCCCCCCCACGCCTTCCTCCCATATATGAGGCCGGTCCCCCCCCACACCTTCCTCCCATATGAGGCCGGTCCCCCCCCCTCTGACATTTGGGGGATATCCTGTACCGTCCTGACATTTGGGGATATCTGTACCGTTCTGACATTTGGGGGATATCTGTACCGTCCTGACATTTGGGGGATATCTGTACTGTCCTGACATTTGGGGGATATCTGTACCGTCCTGACATTTGGGGGATATCTGTACCGTCCTGACATTTGGGGGATATCTGTACCGTCCTGACATTTGGGGGATATCTGTACCGTCCTGACATTTGGGGGATATCTGTACCGTCCTGACATTTGGGGGATATCTGTACCGTCCTGACATTTGGGGGATATCTGTACCGTCCTGACATTTGGGGGGGGGAGGAGTTTGCAGTTCTGCCATTTTCAGGTTTCAGGAAATGAGATTGGCCGTTGATACATCAGGATTGATGGATTATCAGATACGTATCTCATAGTTTGTGGACTCTGTAACTTTCCTACAGACTAAATATTAAACACGGATTTGGGGGATTTTCTCCAAAGAAATAAAGAATACATTTTGGCCAAAATTTATGAAGAGATATTTGCAAAATTTAATATCATAAAAAAGGAAAAAAAAATGTGTACTTTAAAATTTTTGATCTTTTTTTGTTTATATAACAAACAATAAGAAAAATTCCAGTGGTAGTTAGATATTAAAGTGTAAGGTCCCCCCCCAAAAAAACTATATCCACTATATTGCCCCAAGTATTGTCCCCACCCCCATATATACACTATATTGCCTCAAGTATTGGGCCACGGGCCTTTCCACACACATGACCTTTAATGGGCCCCCAGTCTTAGTCCGTAGGGTTCAATATTGAGTTGGCCCCGCCCTTTGCCTCTTCTGGGAACGGCCCCCCACAGTTTAGTCCGTAGGGTTCAATATTGAAGGTTGGCCCCGCCCTTTCCAGAACACATTTGACAGGTCAGGCACTGATGTTGGGGGAGGGGCACTGATGTCTAGGGGCACTGATGTACGGGGGAGGGGCCTGGCTCAGTCTCCGCTCTAATATCCCAAAGGTGTTCTATGGGGTTGGCCATTCAATTAGGTGTTCTATGGGGTTCCCAGGACTCTGTGCAGGACAGTCAAGTTCCTGGCCCCCCAAACTGGCTCCTCCATGTCTTTTATGGACCTTGCTGAGTTGTGCACTGGTGGGCAGTCATGTTGGAACAGGAAGGGGCCATCCCCAAACTCCTCCCACAAAGTTGGGAGCATGAAATTGTCCAAAATGTCACCTTAAGAGTTCCCTTCACTGGAACTAGGGGGCCAAGCAAACCCCTGAAAACACACCCCCACACCATAATCCCCCCTCCACCAAACTTTACACTTGGCACAATGCAGTCAGGCAAGTACCGTTCTCCTGGCCACCGCCCAAACCCAGACACGTCCATTGGATTGCAAGACAGAGAAGTGTGATTGGTCGCTCCAGAGAACACGTCTCCTCTGCTCTAGAGTCCAGTGGCGGCGTGCTTTACACCACGTCATCCGACGCTTTGCATTGCACTTGGTGATGGAAGGCTTGGATGCAGCTGCTCGGCCATGGAAACCCATTCCATGAAGCTCTCTACGCACTGTTGTTGGGCTCATCTGAAGGCCACACCAAGTTTGGAGGTCTTTAGCTATTGACTCTGCAGACAGTTGGTGATCTTCTGCACACTGTGCGCTTCAGCATACGCTGACCCCCGCCCTGTCATGTGACGTGGCCTACCACTTGGTGGCTGAGTGGCTGTTGTTCCCAACACAGTCTCAAGAAACATGGAGGAGATTCCAGGGAGACGGGAGCACGGAGGAGATTCCGGGAGACGAGAGCATGGAGGAGATTCCGGGGAGACGAGAACACGGAGGAGATTCCGGGAGACGAGAGCACGGAGGAGATTCCGGGAGACGAGAGCACGGAGGAGATTCCGGGAGACGAGAGCGCGATGAGATTCCGGGCAGAGAGCGCGGAGGAGATTCCGGGGAGACGAGAGCGCGGAGGAGATTCCGGGAGACGAGAAGCGCGGAGGAGATTCCGGGAGACTAGGCTTCCGAGACGAGAGCGACGGAGGAGGAGATTCCGGGAGACGAGAGACGAGAGCTGCGGAGGAGATTCCGGGAGACGAGAGCGCGGAGGAGATTCCGGGAGACGAGGAGCGCGGAGGAGATTTCCGGAGACGAGAGACGAGGAGATTGTCGAGCGCGGAGGACGAACGGAGGAGATTCCGGGAGACGAGAGCGCGGAGGAGATTCCGGGAGACGAGAGAGCACGGAGGAGATTCCGGGAGACGAGGAGCACGGAGGAGGCACGGAGGAGATTCCGGGAGACGAGAGCACGGAGGAGATTCCGGGAGAGAGGAGAGAGACGGAGGAGGAGATTCCGGGAGACGAGAGCACGGAGGAGATTCCGGGAGACGAGAGCACGGAGGAGATTCCGGGAGACGAGAGCGAGACGGAGGAGATTCCGGGAGACGAGAGCACGGAGGAGATTCCGGGAGACGACGGAGGAACGGATTCCGGGAGACGAGAGACGGAGGAGATTCCGGGAGACGAGTAGAGGACGGAGGAGATTCCGGGAGACGAGAACGGAGGAGATTCCGGGAGACGAGATTCCACGCGGAGGAGATTCGGGAGACGAGAGCACGGAGGAGATTCCGGGAGACGAGAGCACGGAGGAGATTCCGGGAGACGAGAACACGGAGGAGATTCCGGGAGACGAGGAGACGAGGACGGAGGAGATTCCGGGAGACGAGAGAAGACGGAGGAGATTCCGGAGACGAGAGCGACGGAGGAGATTCCGGGAGGAGACGATGAGAGCGCGGAGGAGATTCCGGGAGACGAGAGCGCGGAGGAGATTCCGGGAGACAAGAGAGCACGGATGGAGATTCCGCGGAGACGAGATTCCGGGAGACGGGAGACGAGAGCACGGAGGAGATTCCGGGAGACGAGAGGACGGAGGAGATTCCGGGAGACGAGGGGACGAGAGATTCCGTGGAGGACGGAGGAGATTCCGGGAGACGAGAGCACGGAGGAGATTCCGGGAGACGAGAGGACGAGGAGATTCCGGGGGAGACGAGAGCACGGAGGAGATTCCGGGAGACGAGAGCACGGAGGAGATTCCGGGAGACGAGAGAGCACGGAGGAGATTCCGGGGAGACGAGAGCACGGAGGAGATTCCGGGAGACGAGAGAGGACGGAGGAGATTCCGGGAGACGAGAGACGAGAGGCACGGAGGAGGAGATTCCGGGAGACGAGAGCACGGAGGGATTCCGGGAGACGAGAGCGACGGAGGAGATTCCGGGAGACGAGAGGACGGAGGAGATTCCGGGAGACGAGAGCACGGAGGAGATTCCGGGAGACGAGAGGACGGAGGAGATTCCGGGAGACGAGAACACGGAGGAGATTCCGGGAGACGAGAGCACGGAGGAGATTCCGGGAGACGAGAGCACGGAGGAGATTCCGGGGGAGACGAGAGGACGGAGGAGATTCGGGAGACGAGAGCACGGAGGAGATTCCGGGAGACGAGAGCACGGAGACGGGAGAGATTCCGGGAGACGAGAGCACGCGGAGGAGATTCCGGGAGACGAGAGCACGGAGGAGATTCCGGGAGACGAGAGCACGGAGGAGATTCCGGGAGACGAGTGCACGGAGGAGATTTCGGGAGACGAGAGGACGGAGGAGATTCGGGAGACGGAGCACGGAGGAGAGAGACGGAGCACGGAGGAGATTCCGGGAGACGAGAGCACGGAGGAGATTCCGGGAGACGAGAGCACGGAGGAGATTCCAGGGAGGAGACGAGAGCAACACGGAGGAGATTTCCGGGAGACGAGAGCACGGAGGAGATTCC